CATTTAATATAATATAATATTAAATTCGCCAAAACCAGCTTTAAATAATATTAAATATATATATTATATATAAAAGCATTTTTATTAATTTTTTATTAGTTCCCAATTCTCTTAACAATACTTTGCACTTTCTCCTAATTAAAGAATTTTTATTTACTCCGTAAAATATGTGAGAACTGTAAACTTTCTTGTACCAAGAAATTCAATCTTGAAAATGTCATATTAGCTTTTTAATATTTATAAGAATCTTTTTTTAAGCAACCTAAAATTCGTCGCATCTTTTTACAATTTTCAGACATTTAGAGAATTACAATCTCTGGATGAAAAAAAAAATCAATCAATCAAAAATTACAAATAAAATATTGCTTTAATATATTACATTAATTAATAAGTAATTAAGTAATTAAATTATTTAGAACTAGTATTTATTTCTTAAGTATTATTTATTTAATTTTTATTTAAAAACATTTTTTTTTATAACTTATTTATGATTATCTATGCATCATTTGTTTATTATTTATTTAATATTTATGTTTTTATGCATTAATTTATTTGGTTTTTATTAATTATTATTTAAAGTTTTTCAATTGAAGGGCATTCAAGCCACGCCCAAGTCATCATTTATCTATCAGCAATATGCAGGTGTCTGCTGTCTGAGCGGCTGGCGGGATGGGGGGATGGGGGGATGTGGTGTCAATAGGCAATGGGGCGTGGCATGTCCGAGGCATGCACTTGCATTTAGTGAGAAGCACTTAGCACACGGCCGAGTGTTTAGTTTTCAGTTTGTTCAGCACAATTACAAAACTGGAGCATTAAGCAAAACGATTTCAATAAGCTGGCTCTTGGGCTAAAAGCTGGGCTGGGGCTGGGGCTGGGGCTGGGGCTGGGGCTGGGGCTGGGGCTGGGGCTGGGGCTGGGGCTGGGGCTGGGGCTGGGGCTGGGGCTGGGGCTGGGGCTGGGCTGGGCTGGGGCTGGGTTGGAGACTGGGTTGGAGTCTGGGTTGTGCGTTTGTGTGTGTGTGTGTGTACACGTCTGTGTGTATGGCCTGGCCAGGCGTTAACAAGCTAACTAGCCAAAAAATGTGCTTAAGTAATCTGATCTGCCTGCCAGCGAAACACTGCAAAAAGTCTGTGCACACATGTTTCGATTTTCTAGTTCAAAGATGAATTTTTCTTTTATTTTCCAAATATTTTCCAAATGATAACAAATTGTTCAATAACTTGAAAATTATGTGAAATTTCAAAAAAAAACTTCATTAGAATGCGACATTAAAGAACGAAGGCTAGTCTTTGTTTTAAGTTCATGAATCTTAGATGGGAAGCCTTATAAAAGGAAGACAATATTCTTTTGGCTTAGAAAGCGAACTATAAATAGCATATTTTGTATAATATTAGTGCGTTTGGCATATATATGGCATCATATTATATGGCATCATTTTCTTTAAGCCAGAATAAGTCTTGGCCTTTGGCATGCCTTCTTAAGGCGCTCAAAATTTCATAGAGCTCGGACTTCATTTAAGCAAGAATGCTGCCACCATAGATAGTGGTAAGAAGAAGCATAGCATAGAAGCTTTCGAATATTTGTATTGCCAGCTGGGCTTAGGGCATCTACTAGTCGGGCACTGCCGACTAGAATTCTCTTGCTTAAATCGGTTTTTTTTTTGTCTAAAAGTTTTAATGCATAATTCTGTGTCCGATTGACAAGCAATTACTGTGCTCAAATTGTTAACTTCTTCTTGCGAATGTCGCAAGTTAAAGAAGAGTTTTTTTCTTTTTCAAGTTGAAAGTTGATTAAAACTTGAAGCTGCAAATGTCTAAGCTCAAACCAGTTTATCCATTAAGTTCTGCAATTGTCATGTTCAAATAAGTCGAGTCCCCGTCCCGCTCTCTCTCTCTCTCTCTCTCTCTGGCTCTCCCTTTGCCTCTCTCACATTTCTCTCCTCTCAGTCTATCTCTCACTCTCCTCCCCCTGCCACTGCCTCTCTCCCTCTCTCTCTATCTCTCTGCTTTTGAGTAATGACTATTCAACACTTTTTTCTGTCTTCTCTCTGTTGTATTATTTTTTTTTCACACACAATTATCTCAACACTTTGGAATAATTGCTGCGGGCTGTACGGAACGGAATCTTTATAAATATTAATATGTGCATAATAATATTAATGGCATCAACCGATATCAATTACCAGAGCAAAACTAAGTTGTTGCCAAATGCCATTACAATTTTGTAGAATTTTTTTTTAGAGAAAAACAAAAAAGAAAATGGAAAATTTCATGTGAACTAAACGAAAGACTTATGCAACAAACTTGGCCCAAATGGGCGGGCGGCTAATGAGCTGCTCTGGAGCTGGGCCGCATGGGGCAGGCTTGCCAGAGGCCAGGCGCAGCATGTGGCATGCCACATGCAGCTTGTTGCGCCTGCTTGGACCAAAGCCAAAACGTTTCCCACGCTCGCAATTTTGGCCAAGTTAAGCGAAGTGTTTGCGCTGTGTTGGGTGGTGTGTGTGTGTGTGTGTATGTGTGTGTATGTGTGTGTGTGCTGGGTGTGTATAACATGTCTAGCTTTGGGTTCGCTCAGAGGCGTATCCTACGCGCTGGTGGCGCTTGTTGGCTACCGTTGCACGCCAGCACGGCCCAAGCTAGACCCGAAGCCAAGAGCCAGACCAGAACCGGTTGCCGCTGCCAACGAAAAATGCAAGGGTATGTATAGGGTATATACAAGTGTATCAGTATATATATAAATATGTGTACAACGAAATCTATATGCATAGCTATATACATATACATTATGTGTATGCGCTGCGACTTGCCTGGTTGGCAAAAGGGTAAGAAAAAGACACGAGACAAGAGTGCTCTAGGCGCGAGTGTCCGACCACGAGATACCCTGTAAAAAGCTTCGAGCTGCCGAGTAAATAGTTCAATCTAGGAAAAAAGGCGCATAAAACTTTTTTTTAAATTTAAGATTTTCGATAATATACAAACGATATGCTATAAACGATATACGATATAAAGAATATGTCATATACGATCAGATATACGATAAACTATATATGATATAGTGTTTATCGTATATACGATATCCTTAATCCTATATAACCCCGGAATACACATACAACAAACCATATGCGATACACCATATACGATATACGATGTACATAATTCGATTTACGATATAGTTTATACGATATAAGACTTTTGGTGTCCAACAAACACTATATGACCTCGCCATATATGTATATACAATGTCCGATTTAGGATATAAACAATATACTATTTATACTATATGACCTCGCAATATATATACTATATACGATATACTATATCCGATATATTATTTACGATATAAGCCTTGATATCCAATTAATACTATATTACCTCGCAATATATATACTATATACGATATATACTATATGATCTCGCAATATATATACCATATACGATATACTATATCCGATATACGATGTACGATGTACTGTATGGCTTCACAGCTGTCTATTTCGATTTGTTGCAATATGCCCGCTTTTTCACAACCATTTTCAATTGGGTACAGGGTATCAAAAATCAAGTTTTGCATTTTCATTTAAATTTATTGGCTTTGGCTTTGGTTTTGGCTACGGCTACGGCTTCGGCTTCGGCATTAAGGTTTGTTGCCAGGCACTGTCCGAGTTGCCACAGCCGCAGTCGCAGCGGACTTGCAACTTGTTTGCCCGTCAAGTGGCGAACAAGATTCTTAGCAGCCAGTTTTAAATATGGCGACGCACAACATACACACACACACACACACACACACTCATATACACACATACACACACACAACACACAGACCACAAAGACAACACTTGAAATTTGCATTAAAACATTTTTTCAGTTGCAATTGCTTTGACATTTATCACAGCAAATGCAGAAAAGCAATTGTGCCCGACTGACAGATACCCTGTGTGGTTTTGTATGTATGTGTGTGTGTGTGTGTGTGTATGTTTGTATGTGTATGCATATATATATATATATATATATATATATATGTATGCATGCATGCTTGATCCCTAATACAAAATGCAGACGAAGCTGGTTTATCGCTGTGCTGCAAATTTAAATAAAACGAATTTGTAGCAAGTGCTCTCCTCCTCGATTCTCAAGAACTCAAGTAGGCTCTGCAGTTTTTCACGCTAAGCTAGAAGTGGTGTTTTTTTTTTTGGTATTATTTTTGTGTTTTTTTTTGGTATTTTTTTTTGTTGTTTTTCTTGTATGTATGTATGTATGTATGTATGTATGTATGTATGTATGTATGTATGTATGTATGTATGTATATATATATTTATGTATGTATGTATGTATGTATGTATGTATGTATGTATGTATGTATGTATGTATGTATGTATGTATGTATGTATATATATATATATTTATGTATGTATGTATGTATATATGTATGTATGTATATATGTATGCATGTATGTATGTATGTATGTATGTGTGTCTATGTATGCTTGCATATATTTATGCATCTTTGAATCAAATTCTAGGGTATAGACCACGTTTTTGACTATATCTAAGAAAATGCCCCCGAACAGTGTATACGAGGTGCTGATAATGTGTCTTCAATTTGTTAAGTTATTTAAAAAAAAAAGAATATTAAAAAAGAAATCATCTTCCCCCTAAAAAGAAGATACAATTTTTGTGGGCATAGTTTTTTTATTTATTTATTTTTTTTTTTAATAATTTCAAAATTTAAAATTTAAATACGTTTTTTATTATTTTAATTTTTTTTACTATTATTTTTTATTATTATTGGGAAATCTTAGTTAAGTTTTATAAATATTTATTTATTTTTTAAATATTGAATCTTTTAATTGAAAATAATATTTATTTTATGTTTTTCTTGCCCTTATTTTAAATACATTTTTTATTCAATATTTTATTTTTTATTATTGATATTTTTATAGTATTAGACACATTTATTACATTCATTCACCTTTCCATATTTTGCTTTGTTTTCTTGCACTTTTAGCATTTAATTTTTTATGTAATTTATTAAGCACATGTATATTTAATTATTTAATGTTGATTTTGGCGACGCTTCCATTTTTGACCTTCGAGCCAGCTAATAAAATGTTCATTAAATTATTTTTAACATATATATTGAAATATTTGCTAGCCGATTCATTGTTTGCTTTGATCTCTCTGCAATTTCTTGTATTTCATTTAAGACTACAAAATAGTATATTTAATTATTATGTGAAAGTAAAAAGTTCTTCACATAAGAACTTAATTTAAGCCAATTATTTCTGTGGCAGCTATATTATATAGTAGTTCGATCCGCCCGTTTGCGGCATATATAGACATATATAAGACTGAGAGATTAGTTTGCACAGAGACAGGCAGACGGACGTGACCACATCGACACGGCTTTTGATACTGAGCCAAGAATATATAGGCTTTATAGGGTCTAGAGATCTCTTCTACACTCTGCAGCCTAAATATGAACCGTTCAGCTCTTTTATGGACAGTGTATAAAAATAACATAAGAAAGCCATCTTATACATTTTAGACATATAGTTGTATATATATACATTTAGGATGGATACAAGTTTGTAGCTTTTATGGTTTATAAAATAAAATAGTATAAAGTTATAATAATGGAAATAGCAGTACAAATATAACCAAATGTTGAACATTAGACTAAAGTTCTTTAGGTTTTTGTTATTTTGTTATTCTTAATTAAAGCTGAGTAGAGGGCCGTGCGCGGCGTGTTGTTGGGGGCATGCAGCTACATGCGCACCTGGAATTTGCCCGCTTTGGTTAGATATTTGACGCCCTTGAAGGGCTTATATTTCTCGCCGTACATGTCCAGGCGATTCACCTTCAGACCGGAGACGGCCAGCTGTGAGATTTGGAATTGCACATTGATTGACGGATTGGCATCAAGTATTGGGCTGCCGGGCATGATGGAGACCTAAAATCAAAACTCACATTAATCGCAATTCGATTGATTCTGGCTGCAGCTTACCGAGCCGCGAATGTTGGGCAGCTTGGAGACATCGATGCGTCCGACATCCCAGGAGAGCGTTTTGCTCACCGAATCGAACGTGTATTTGCCCTGATTGGGCGTTAGCACGCAGTTGAGCACGCACTTGGGCATTGATAGCTCCAGCTTGACCTTGTCGACCGTGCGACCGAGCGTGTTCCGTGGCCCAATGGTCAAATCCAGGCGACCCTGTTCGCCGGTCTTAATTGAAAAATTGTGCCGTATATAGATGGGTATGGCCACCACCGACTGCGAGCTAATGTGATAAGACATGAGCCGAAAATTGCCATCGGGCGGTATAAAGGAGAGCAGACGTTCTGCCTCCCAGCGCTTAAAGCGCACGCACGGATGAAACGAGACGTCGTCAAAGAGACGCGGATTCATAAAGGACAGCGACAAGTCGGGCATGCCGGACAGCTTGATGCAGCAGTCGATCTAGTGTGCACAGATTATGCAGGATTAGAACTGTCAAGCAACAATATACATATACATTTAGTTTGTCTACGTACATGTCCCTGTATTTCAGCAAACACCGTGGAGCCGGATTTGTCAATGATGGCGTCGACCTCCTCGATGACATCGAAATAGGCTTCGTTGTTGGTGTAGCGGACGCCGCTGCGACGCCAGGGTATGGCCGACAGCTGGCCCACGGGCAGAATGGTGCTAACGCTGCAAGCAAAAGCACATGAATTAGGTTATCCTCTTAAGAAACGCCTAGAGGATCGAGACACACTTGCTCTTGCCGGTGACGGTGTTGGCGATGGTGCGCAATATGTTTGGCGGCTTGATTAGCTCCTTCAGTATGTTGCTCTCGGTGGACAGGGGGAAGCCGTTGTCGAGCATCTCGTCGAGCAGCTCATAGACGACCACATAGTTATCCTTTATCACAGACTCGGAGCAGTCGCTAAAATAGTCCTGAAACGTGTCCACAACGCGATGCAGAAACTCGATGACAAACAGCGGCGGCACCTCCTGCTTGCAGGCGGCCACCAGGGAGACGCTGTCTCGCTGCACCGTGATCAGATAATAATGGGGCGTGGCAATAACAGGCGGCACATCCTGCAAGAAGAAGAAGGCTCCGCGCTTAGCGTGGATGCATGGAAACGTGGCAGGCAACTTACGTAGGGTGCGGCACGCTGTGCATCGAGAAAGTATTCGCAAACGGAGCGCGAGACAACCGAACGCCAGTGCTTCTCGAGAAAGACTTCGCTGTGGGGGAATAAAACAACATAGTTCTTGTTTTTACTGCGATAACTTGGCATATGCCAAACATTTTGTGTGCCATGCTTACCCGCTGCTGTTGACTATGAACAGGCTGTGTATCATATTTGAAGTTTTGTTTACTATGTATGCATATGTTTAAAACAAATGCTTTTGCAAATATGAAATTGTTTACGTGTTGAATAAATGGAAATACTAAACAAACGTGAATGTAACGTAAGCCTAACAGCGCATGTTAAACTTAACAGGGCACGTAAGGTGCCAAGGCAGCAGAGTGCGCGATATATGTACGTAATCCAGTATATTGAGCAAAATGGATGCAGCACAGCATGAACGTGAAGTGATGTATGGAAAAGGATCTTAAAGAGCATCAGATCTACAAAATGGGTAAGGAAGGACTAATAACATGTTTTATTAAAACACAAGATGCAGCAGCTTAGCAGAATGTGCTTGTCCTCTGCTATGAACAGCAGACAATGCGTAAACGCAAGATTCAGAGCGCAACGCAAGAAGAGCTAACAGCATGTAACGGCTGCCAGTGATGTTGCCACTGCGTTGAACAGCTGTTCGGACGACAGGTACGATTTGTCTTTTTGAATAAAATAATATTAAAATTCCTAATTGAAATAAGTAGACAGACTACTTTAGCTACAATAAGCCATGCAAAGAATTTCTTAAACCTGTAAGTACTAACAGCATGTAAATACACTGCGTACCAACAGCATGTAAATGCACTGCCTACTAACAGCATGTAAATACACTGACCAGTGGCCGACGTTGCCACTTGGTCAAACAGCTGTTTTAACGAAACATTTTGACAGTTGAAAGCACACAGCTCGCATTTTTAAATTATTTATTTTAAATCAATTGATAAATTAAATTAACGGTTTCAGAGCTAAGCTGCAAACAGCAGCGCCGACAAAATTAGTTGCTTTTAACGCACTGCACAAGCGTTAGCGGAGGCAGTTTGCCTGGGCAGCCGTTAGGCGGCCTGCTTATATAATCGCCGGATGAGTCTGTACAGCAGCTCGGTGCGACGTCTGCTCGACAGTTGGCCCGGCAAGCGGCGCTTTGGCATCTACAGATTCCTGCCGCTCTTCTTTGTGTTGGGCGCAGCGCTGGAGTTCTCCATGATCAAGTGGACCGTGGGCGAGACGAACTTCTGTGAGTGCCAGCGCCGCAATGGAAACCTCAGAAAAGATCTAATACTTCTTTCTGTACAATTCACAGATCGCACATTCAAGCGGCGTCAGGCCAAGAACTACATCGAGGAGCAGCAGCACCACCTGGCGCAGCCGCAACCCACAGCGACAGCCTAGGCATGCCCGCGGGCGTTTCATGGGGCCAGTACATGAAGTTTCTGGGCAGCGCCATGCTGGCCATGATGGCCGGCTCCCAGGCGGTGCATCTGTACTACAAGCCGCTGGAGGACCTGCCCGTCTACATAGAACGCGAGCGACATCAGCTGGAGCCACCGCCAGGTGACACAAAAGCCAACAGTTAGATTTAAGTGTCATATATATTTGGAAATATAACTAAAAACTATGTAAATACTCCCGCCCGCCTGGTCGCGGCCTACTTGTTCTTCTCGTGCACCCGGCCATGGTTCTTGAGGCACGTCTGCTGGCGGAACGCCTGGCCACACACCTGGCACACATACGGCTTCTCGCCCGTGTGTATATACTCGTGATGGCGCTGGGTTTTGCGCGAGGCGAACGACTCCTCGCAGTACTTGCAGCCGAAGGGCTTCAGCTTAAGATGCACCGCCCGGATGTGCGCCTCCAGCTCGAATTTGCGGGCAAAGAGACGGCCGCAATGCTCGCACGGCAGCTTCTCGGCGCTGTGCATGAGCATGTGCTGGACGAGCATGAAACGCTTGGCCAAACGACGCCCGCACACCTGGCACTCGTGCATCGTGACGCCCGCCGTGCCCGCGCCCGCACCCGTATCCACTCCGTCCACCTGATGCTGCTGCATCGTGTGATACTTGAGCGTGTAGCGGGAGTGAAAGTGCTTCTGGCATATATCACAAAAGTGCTGCTCGCTGGCGCGCGCATTGGCCGCCGCCTCGTCGGCGGTGGGATGCTTGGTGCGCCGATGATACTTGAGATTCGCTGTCTGGTTGAATGTGGCGCCGCACTGCTCGCACACGTACTTGCGGGCGGGCGCGGCAGCGGTGCTGTGCTTGAGCCGCTTGTGCTTCTGCATGGCAATGCAGCTGATGTAGACGCGCTCGCAGCCGGGCTGGTCGCAGCGATAGGAGCGCTCCTGGGGGCTGTGTATCTCCTTGATGTGCGTGTAGAGGCCGCCCATGAAGCTGTAGGCCTTGTCGCAGCGATCGCACTGGAAGGGTCGCTTGCTGCCCTCGTGCACCTTGCGCACGTGCGCCTGGAGCGTCAGGCTGTGCGCAAAGCTGTGCCCGCACTGCACGCACTTGAAGCTGTTCTTCAGGCCCTTGCTGCGACGCCGTGCACCTGGCTCCACGATGGGCTGTGGCTGCACTTCCTCCATAGCCGGCTCATCAATTGGATCCGGCGGCGGAGGCGGCGGCGTTGGGTTATCCTGACACTCCGCTTCGAGCAGCTGCTCCGGCTGCAGCTGCTGCTCATCGGGCGCCGGCTCCTCGTACACAATCTCGAATACGCTGGCCGTTGGCTCGGCCACTTCCTGGCGCGTCCGCTGTCGCAGCATGGACAGGAGCTCGGTGCGGCAAGCGTTCGCCTGTTGCTGGAACAGCTCGTAGCCCAGCAGCTGCTGGTGGCAGGCCGTGCACAGCTGCTGGGGCAGCCATTCGCTGGACAATTCGGTTGGCTGCCATTCCAAATGCTGCACCAGCAGACGCTGCAGCTCCACGTCTATGGCATGCGCTGCCGGCACCTGTCCGTCAGCGTCCAGTTTCTGCAGGCATGTCAGGCAATTGTTGTTGGCCAGCGTGTGCATTGGGAGCAGCCGAGCGAGCGGTTGGGCTTGTGCGCACCTCCGGAGCTGAAGGCTAAATGGCGCTGGACGATGGTAAACAAAAGGTTTATGTTAAACTGCGACGCAGCAGTGGCACAACTGTTGTGTATTGTCGCTGTTACTGTTAAGCAGGCGGAGTTGCCACCCGCAGCTAACCACTGGCTGCCAATTGCAGCCGCCATGTTTATACGATATGGCTTTTTGTGTTTACAGCTTATTTAATTGCAGTGTAAAGTGCAGTGACGCGATTTTGCGTTAACATAGAAGCAAATTTAAACAGTTTTAGAAACCGCTAAGCTTTGAACGCTGCTGTTACGGTCATCTCAGCTTTATATTAACAGAAATTCGAATATAAATTGCCCACGCTTCTACTGTTAAGGGCTTTTGCTTCACAATTTCCCACATTGCAGTTTACAGTGCCGCATAAACGCATTTAACAGCGCCAGTGTTACCACATTACTTGTCTTAAGTTTCGCCATTTTGTGTGTATTTTGTCCTTTCGTTGCCGCTGGTCTGCGTGTTTTGGTTTCCTATTGTTTTTGGGGCCCGAGCGCCAAGCCACTTACGCGTCCTATTGCCAGCAGCAGCACAGCCAGTTGCATGCAGGCGTTCAACAGCAGCGCACGCATCGAACCAGTCACAGCGCAGAGCGCACAGCTATTGGCAAAGTTAACTGTTTTTGGCGCGCATTTCAATCTGTTGGCCACATGCAGAAGTAGACACACGTTGTTGTTGCCGCAGCTAATTGTAAAGCGCATTTGAGAAATTCATACGACAAGTGACAGTTTTTTCTTTTATTTATTGAGTGAACTATAGTTTTTTTTTTAACATTTTGTTTACGTGATTTTGTTTGTGTTTGTGTTTAGAGCGTGTGTTGGGTGTTTACTTCAAACTTTGCACACAACACAACATGTAAATCCTTATCAATGGCGTCGAGCAGCAGGCCCAAATACCGTTACAAATCCCCTGGCGCTGCCGGCACGCAACTCCATTGGCTGCACTGCCTCCTGCGGCTCTGCTTGTTTACCCAAGGTAAGTCCAACATGGCGGCGTTTGCCTTATTTATTATATGACAGCAACAGCTGCTGCTGTTCTACGCTCTCAACTACTTAAAGAAATTAAAATATGTTTCGGAAGATTCCCCCACTCAGCGTTGCAATAACCATGCGTTTATGTGTAAATTGTGCAGCGGCAACAAGATAAAAAAATTAAGGGAAATTCTATTAATATGAAAATTTCCCAGAAAATATATTCGCACATTAAGAACGCAACATAAGCATAAACCCACACATATGCAGCAGAGACCCACACAAACACACACACACACATATCGCTCTCCTCTCTTCCCTCTTACCGCTCCTAACTGTACACACGAAAGAACTGCACGCTGCCCCAAACAAAGGCGAAAGCAGCAGCAAAAGGAGACAGACGAAAGGCGGAAGACGAAAGGCGAAAGGCGAAAGACACAGAAGCAGCGCTGGGCCAACTGCAGCCGGACCAAAATAGCTTATAAACAAACTAGAAAGCCCGACTGCGCGATACTCTGCTCTGTTGCCAAGGCTGCAAACCGGGCTTAAGCCGCGATTTTCGGCTTACCTTGAATCGAACTAGTTGTCCGTAAAGAAGCCGAGCTGCAGCACTTACCTAATCTGACTATTTTCATTGTTTAAAATCAAGGCTGCAATTCCTATATATTTTCTTTTATAAGCCGAATCTTAAAGCAAATCAGTATTTTTAGCAGATCTAGACCTAGAGCGTACCTTATTTGGGTCCCAACCATTTCATTTATCTAAACATATTTAGTAGATTCCATTTTTGGGCGGATTCCATACGTATAGCTGAAATAAATTCCCTAGCCTAACTATCGTGCTAAAAGAAAGTAGTTTGGCTAAAATCAAGGCTAAAAACTTTTAAGGCAGATCCAGTTCTAAAGCATAAACAATTTCGTTCCGTTCGATCGTTGGATATATCGTAAAGTACTTTTGGGCGGATATTACCATATTTTAGGCTTACACCTTGTAGTTTTATTATGTTTAAGTTTTAGTATATTACCAATTTTATCATAGTATACCAGCTAAAATTATCCCCCATTTCTCGGGCCAAGCTTTTTATTTAAATTTTAGTAAAGTCTAAAACACATCTCAAATGAATTTTCATAAAGAGCCTTGAAGATGAGTTGAGATTCTAACTCAGCATCCAATCATAAACTAAATACTTAAAAAATAAGAAATACTTTAAAACGTTTTCCACGAATATTTCACCCTTGCGCGTGACATTTAGATAGACATTAGCTAACTTTATTACAAGTTATAGCTTCGTAGCTCTCAAGGCTTGCGCCGGGCGTTGATCATCAATCAGTCAATCAGTCAGTCAGCTTGATGTATGGTTTCTCCAAAGCGAGAAAAAACCAATTTACTTCACTCTTCCGCTGTAAACAGCGTATAAATGCGCAAAGCAGGAAGAACAACAATAACAAAACGCACAACAAAAGAGATGCAAACCGGAGAGGGTGTGTGTGTGTGTGTGAGGGGATGGAGAGAGGAAGTACCTATATAAAGATAATCTGTGAAAAGTGTGAAGAAACTTTGCTCGCGCCGCTGCTGCAGCTGCTCAGTTATTGTAAGGCACTTCAACGCCTCCCCCCTCACCCCTCACCCCTCACCCCCTTCCCGCCCCAAGTCCAGGCAAAGTATTTTTCCAGGGATTTGGCAAAGAGTTGGACTTAGCCATAAGCTGACTCTTGATTGACCAATGGTTTTTGGCATCTTGCTTGACGACGATGACGATGATGGAGATGATGATGATGATGATGATGATTGGGACCTAAAGTGGCTTTCGATTCGTTCAATTACATCAAACTTTTGCAAGTGCGCCAAAAATGTTTGTACAGAAATTACTTGGCAGTTACCTTTAGAATAGCTGGAGGCATTGCAAGAGGCGGCTCTGAGACTGAGAGAAAACTGTTTGCAACATTTCCATAAGTACAAAATTGATTCGCTGCCCTAATGCCCATGAAGCTTAAGCAATTTTATTAATTTTTATTGCTCTATCTAAATGGGTTTGGGATTATAATTTCTAATCAAGTAAATTATGAGCAGTAAAGCACAATACTCTACAATTCTAAAGGGGGGCTAAGTGACCTTGGATTGGATGTGCGAAGCAAAGAAATAATCGAACAAAGAGAGCAGAAAAGCAAGTTAGGCAAAGAATGCATGTCCTTCAATTCACTTTGCTGATTTTCATCTGTATTTCAATTTCATAGCAATGCCATTAAAACGTTTAAGAATGCAGCACAAAGAAGAACAGGCAATTGAAATGCTCGCACGAGATTTAAGTGCAGTGAAGTGCTTGCAAAACACGAATTGAATTAGCTGAGAGTAACAGTTAGAGAAAGCGAAAGAGTGAGAGAGATGGAGGGCGAAAGAAAGGGAGAGTGATAGCAGGAGACAGAGACAAGGGGGAAGGAGAAAGAAAGAGAACGCAGATGAGGAAGAGAGCGAGAAACGGAGAAAGATAAAGCGAAAACAAGAGCCACAGCTGGAGACAGGGAGAGAGCGCAAAAGATAGATGGAGAGAGGGGGAGAGATAGAGGCAGATAGCGAGACGAAAAAGAAAGAGAAAGAAAGAGAGAGAGAGAGGCAGAAAAAGAGTTGCCAACATATGTCCGACTATTGATGGAAATATGTTGCCAACTCTTTCCCTCCCTCTTCGCTCCTACTATCTATCTCTCTCGCTTGCTTCAACTGCATTTAAAATGAAAATGAAAAAAAGAGCACAAGAAATGAACAGAAATAATTTATCAAAATAAACACATAATAAATTGGCAACAATCTGTCAGCCTTAATCGACATTCGTGTCCGAGCAAATAAACAAAATTGTTCCGATTTAGAAAATTCAAATAAATGTTTATTGCATTAAGTAGGCAGCACGTCCGACGGCTGCAATAATTTGATAAAATGATTATTTATCTTCGATACAGCAGGCATTACATTTGGCATTACGTTTGATTTTATAGCAGAATACCCTATACAAATTTTGAAGAGGGTAGCTAGGAATTCAGTTTTAGTTTTGTCCAAGTCTGCATTTGCTCAGCTGCATGAATTGTCCGAACTCTGAGACTATGAGCGTGAGAGCTTGAAAACTTGGTCTGTATATCGTCTAGATATATATTCTTGATCAGTAACAACAGCCTAGTCGATATCTCTATATATGCCATATATGCAGCAGAAATATCGGAATCTGTTTGCGACTAGGGAATACCATAAACATTCTTCCTCCATAACCAAATGGAGCTCCGTCTAAAGAAGGGGGAAGGCTAGTTATAAAATTAAAGATACTTGATATGTATAAACTATTCCAGAAACTTTTATCAAATTTGGTGACTCAAGCTCTCAAAAAGATGGATATCGATATCGATTCTTATCGATTGCGTAGAAACGGGGCAAGTTATCGATTATCGTAAACAAAACTCGAGCTGTGCGTGCACTGGAGGACCTATGTACATTTACAAGTTCCAGCCTTTACCTCTTATATAATCTCGGATCGACATACGGACGAACAGACGGTCTGTCTGTCCGATATAGCTAGATCGACTCTGCTATTGATGCTGACCAGGAATATATATAATAATATATACAAAGAGTCTTATCAGGCTCCTGAAAGATCAGCACGAAGAGGGACATCTACAAAACAGTTGAATCATTAAAAGCTACTCGAGAATATTTACAGGGCATCTGCTAGTCTGGCATATTCGCGCTGCATCTAAACAATCTTGCCTGGAATTCGAATCGGGTTCCGCGTTTATTTATTTATCATGTCGACGTCTACTTGAAGACATTATTTGTTTATGTCGTTCGCACAGTTAACCAGAGAGAACTCTATTAATATATCTACAACTTAATGATGGCATTTTTTTTTTTTTTTTTTTTGGCTGGAAACAAAATTCCAATTGCATATGTGGAAGACAATCAAACACTTTTTCTCTCACATTGGCTTCTAACTTAAAAATGTATTTTAGCTCTATCTGTTTTCGCCCGAATGAATGCAATAAATGTTATGTTTTGGACGGGCTTTGACGAATTCTATATTTGTGATTTATATAAGTGATTGTGCGACATTTTTCCTTGAAAAAGGCATCCAGCCAGGCCTGGCGCCCCATGCTACATGCCGCATGCCACGTGAGGCAAGAGGGTACAATTTTTATGAAACTGCTTCTTAAGCATTTGGTGCTCAGTTGAAGGTCTTCTGGTCTGGCAGCCAGAATGCTTATGTAAATGGAGCTACCGGAGCGAGTTGTTCTTTCCTTCTGTAACCGGCCGTTTCCCAAACTGACGCCCACACATACACACACGCGCACACACATGTGCACACACACATCCCCCCAAATCAAGCACAGAGCAGACAGCCCCGTGAGAGTTGTGCACGTTGGCTTTGACGTCCGTCTCTGACGCAGAAGTCGCCGTAATCGTCTTAGCTGCAGTTAGCCAGCTAGCTACCTGCCCGACGGGGCTGCTCCTGCAAATGACAGTTAAATGGAGCGATACCTAATCAGGTGCAACAACAACAACAACAGCAACAGCAACGACAACAATAACTAGAACTCGCGAGGGCCAGATCTCAGTTACAGCTTCAGCTACACAGTGAAAGTTTTTGCTTTCAATTCGAAACGATTTACTTGTGTTTTAGTTGAGTTGAACCAGCATCTGCGTTGTTTAGTAGTTCAAATCACTTACTTTAGAAGTTAATAAGGAATGAAATAATAATCTGATTGCGAACTAATTTTGTAAAAGTCCTATATTTATCTTATTCCTTATTCCTTATACCTTATACCTTATACCTTATACCTTATACCTTATACCTTATACCTTATACCTTATACCTTATACCTTATACCTTATACCTTATACCTTATACCTTATACCTTATACCTTATACCTTATACCTTATACCTTATACCTTATACCTTATACCTTATACCTTATACCTTATACCTTATACCTTATACCTTCAATCGTATATCTTATATATATATA